CAAGAGAGAGAGAGAGAGAAGAATAGAAATGAAAAATACCCATGGGAAAGAGTGAACAGAAAGAGAAAATAATACATCATAGAAAAACAGGACAGTGAATACATATAACAAAAGAACAGAAAAGGAAAATAACCATCCAGTGAAGAGAACATGTATATTTGAAAGATGACCATTGCTGATATGAAATTTGGTTTATACTTCCTAACATGTTACATCCCTAAATTTAATTTTCTAATTAAGATTATTCTGTGGCAGGACAACGTGTTATTATATGTGTTTTCTTTATCACATGATAATATAACGGTTGAATTTCAAATACACACAGAGAAAGAAAAATCGTTAATGAGAAAAAAATAGAGTTCAGGAAGTGCATGAGTTTTCCCTAGAAACAAGGAAAATTCTATACATATCAACATGAAGAAAAAACTAAAGTACATTTAGAGTCGCGGAAAAGTGCCTTTTTGTATTCAGCACACTCGATAAGCCAGAAGATTTTCTACTCTTGGTGAGGGGTACTATCAAAAGTTTAAGAAAAATTACCATGGGAAAATAATATTAGTTTCAAAAGTTTTCTTAAACTTTTGGCAGTATCCCTCACCAAGAATGGAAAATCTTCGGGGTTATCGAGTGTGTTGAATACGAAAAAGCACTTTTCAGCTATTCTAAATTAACTTTATTTTTCTATCGGTGATATGACTTAGCACGTAATAGGGATAGACTAAACTAATATTATTTTCCCATGGTAATTTTTCTTAAACTTTTGATAGTACCCCTCACCAAGAGTAGAAAATCTGACTGAAATTTTCTTTAATGATAATAGACACCTACCACTACTACCCCAAAAAATTTCAGCCTGTTCTACCGTATTTGGCAGAGTTATTGAATTTTTACTCTTATCGAGCCTCACGGGGCGCGAAAACACAAAAGTTCGATAACTTTTGATAGAAGAACCATGGGCCGCAACCGTTTTAGATTTTCTACTACTTCAGTAGTACGGTCTATCGATCCATGCATAAATCGTTGAAATCGGAAGTGGACACTTGGTGAAGGTCCCTTGTCAGTTAAAGAAAAATTATCTTAAAACTAGGGATTCGAATGTTGGATCAACCGTACATGACTGATTTAATTGAAGCAAACTCAATGGCATATGAACCTGACATAATTGATATCTACAGCGCATCCTGGGGTTAGACATTTAAAGAGTAAAAAATATCAGTTTTCATCAGTTTTTCCTCCTACAGGTCCGGTTGATGATGGAAAAACGGTTGATGGTCCAAGACATGCAACAATGAAAGCAATTGTCAACGGAATTAATGAAGTTCGTAGAATCAAATTATCAAGCTTCTTTTTTTCTAAACAAATATTTACTTATTTAACTCAAAATTGCAGGGGCGCCGAGGGTTAGGTATGTGTATGTCTCATTGTCTACATGTGCTTTTGTCAGGATAAACTAATTATATGTTGTAACGTTTTGCTATAAAACAATCTAAGAGCTTTGTTGGTAGAGCAGTTGGAAATAAGTATTTGTAAATCGAATATAGAACTGCTATGAATAATTCATAGCAGTTCTATATTCGATTTACAAATCTAAGAGCTCTTATCTGAGAAATGTGATTTTTTATCTTCAGAACAGAACAGAGATTTGGTGTATGGGAGAAATTATATTCTTTGTGAAATTTATTCTCATACACTTTGTATTCTAGGCTCATTATACGTTTGGGCAAGTGGAGACGGTGGAGCAAACGACGATTGTAATTGTGATGGTTATGCAGCAAGTATGTGGACTATTTCAATTAATTCAGCTATAAATGATGGACGAACAGCGTTATACGATGAATCATGTTCATCAACATTAGCTTCAACATTCAGTAATGGTAGATCAGATGATCCACATGCCGGTTTGTTCCGCGTTTCTGTAGTGCTAATTAGTATATCTTTAATATCTATGTTTGTCAAGGAGTGGCAACAACTGATTTATACGGACAATGTACGTTAAAACATAGTGGAACATCGGCTGCTGCACCCGAGGCAGCTGGTGTTTTTGCCTTAGCATTAGAAGCAAAGTAAGATGACTAATTTATCTTAACGATTTTTGACCTCAAACACGCTTTAGTTAGATATCAACATTTATTTTTAGTCCTAATTTAACCTGGCGTGATATGCAACATTTAACAGTGTTAACAGCCAAACGTAATCAGTTATATGATCCATCTAAAAAGCATTTATGGCATATCAATGGAGCCGGTCTCGAGTTTAATCATCTGTTTGGCTATGGTGTGTTGGATGCTGGGGATATGGTACGTCACGCAAAACAATGGAAACCATTACCACCTCGATATCATTGTGAAGCTGGAAGAATCTCAAAAAGACAGTAAATTGAGAGTTATTCAAACAAGCAAATAGAAAATAATACTAATTATTTCTTTTTCTTTCAAAAGATTAATTCCTGAACAAGGCAACCTTACATTGAAAATCACCACGGATGCATGTGAAAATACACAAGACGAAGTTGGATATCTTGAACATGTGCAAGCATTTATTACATTGAAATCCAGTAGAAGAGGAAATACGGTGATTTTTCTAACATCACCATTAGGCACAAGGTAGAATTTTCATACAAGAAGAACTTGTTGCATTTAGTTAACTCCTATTTCGTCTGCTGTTGTTTTAGATCGTTAATATTGAGTCGTCGTCCACTTGATGATGATTCAACAAATGGATTTCATAAATGGCCATTTATGACCACCCATGCGTGGGCTGAACAAGGTCAAGGTACATGGACTCTCGAACTCTTATTTGATAATGACGATAATGAGGATGCCCCGTTAACGAAGCAACAGCTAATCGATAAACAAAAACGACAAAATCAAACTGTTAATAGTAATACAAATAATAGAAAGACAACCGGTGAATTTTTAGAATGGATACTTCTTCTACATGGTACAAGGCAGCAGCCCTACAAAGATCAAACACAAACAAACTGGAAATCTAAATTAGCTATTGCAAAACAAATACATGAAAATAATTTTAAAGATAAAGCAAAATATATTGAACTATTGAAACAAGATCATCAAAAGCGCTTAGGAAGCGATAACAGTATGATGGAAAGAAAAATTTGAGGTGATAGTTGTCTCATTATTGTTGTTATTGTATAAAATACAGACATTCGACACATCCTAGATTTGCTCGATTTTTCTTTTGTTGCTCACTGGCAGAAATTTAAAACAAAATGTTTGATAAAAAGAGAGAGAGTGTTTTTTATTTTCATTGTTGACTCGTGTACAGTACAATAGTATATAAACATTTTATTTTAACACCAACCTTCAAGTAAAATGACTTTGACACAGATGGAATACGACAACTAGCCTACTATACTGTGGACTCCTAGTCTGTAATAGATCCTTATCGTTTAACTCACATATAGAACAAGTCCACATTCCATTTGCCGTTGATATTAACCGAGTAAAAGCCAACAAAAAAAATGAATTGATTATATTGATGATTAAATAGTCTATGAGGAACGCGATGAGTATTATATCCAAAAGCAGTCTCACTTTGCGAAGGGCCAAAGAGAACTGACTTGAATAAAACTACCATGGATGATGCTTAGTCTTCTTCGTTTGATCGAAAAATGCGTATTCGCCTCTCCGAAGTGTGTTGAAGTATATTGCCTGATCTGTGGTCTTTTTTGTATGACAAACTGTCATTAAATTAGACCTGTTTTTTGAGAACAGCAAGAAAATTTATATTGGTATCAGAGCAGAGAGTATCTATATCTTTCCATTTCAAAATGCTCAGTTCTCAACTTATGGCCTTCTGCTACCACTTTTGGGCCACTTTAATATAAAAGTTTTAATATAAATTTAACAATTTATCACAGACAGAAGCGCTTTATGTTGCGCTTTATGATGCCGCAGTTTTACGTTCAGAATGGTTTACGGTTGTATCTGATGGAATCTTGTCGTTATAATGTATCGCTACAATACCGTTGTTCACTCAAATTTTAGCAGAAACTGGCTTCGCTTAGAATCATATAATATATGGCTAGTTTCACCGCTAGTTGTCATCGCATAAACTTTTAAGTTTTCTATCTATATTGATGTTTGTTATGCTTTTGAACCATTTTGGATTTAATGATTTGCCAATAGACATTGTATTCTTCAAAAACTGTCCATTTGTTTTCTTCTCCGTATGCATTATAATGTAGAGATACTGCGCATGCATATGCTAAACTGTTTTCTTGCCGGAAAAAATGTTCACATTTTTCATTTGGACGATAACCAATTTGATAATTGCTCATTGATTTTCGTGTTATATTCAAATATTCAGGTAAAATACCAGTTATGTAGACGTCGGATATAGAGAATCGTTGCTTATCACGATAAAATGTGCACACCAAAGCATCACGCGCATTTGAACTAACTAAATAGCCAAAACCACTTAGAAAATCGGGGTATATCGCACAAGGATATTCATCTTGTGTGACAATATATCGTTCTGATTGTAATATTCGATGATTTTTTGATCTGACGACTTCAGCATCACTATTTATGAAACCGTACAGCACTTTTGATTTTGTGTCCGAATCGTCAAGGACATTTCTACAATCTGAAATATTCGGTGGCTCGCCTCTGCTATTCAACACAATATCATCATCTGTCTGCTGACTAATGAACTTTGCTAACAAAAATGTATCTACAAATATATCATCGTCGGTTTTAAATACAAATTTAGCGTGTGAACAGTACTTCATTGACCAATCGAGTATAGCCATATCTCTCCATGAATTCAACAGATAATGTTGAGGTAGTTGAACTTGAACAATATCACCGAATAATTCGTGTTCTAATTGAATATTCTTCAGTTTTGATTCATCAATGTCGATCATAAACAGTAGTTTCATGTTCACAGTGGGTACAGACTGTTTGACGAGATCAAACTTGCCCCATGTACGACGAATGGAGTCACGGATATGATAACTCGATGATTTTGATACAACAAACACAATAACATCTAGATGACTATTGCCAAACGTCATACAATAGTTTGCATTTGATATCTGGTATTTTAGTTCAGATCGAACTGGTTTCGTTTGAAACAATTCATGCGTACTAAATGGAAAAACAAGATAGACATGGTCAAAAGCTGACTTGGTGAGAACATCTTCCCTTATTCTGCCGATAAACTAAAAAGAGCTGTCTGGATTTGTGTCGATGAAGCTGCATGTCTAAACCATCTCTTACCTCAAATTTCTCATAAAATGTTGTTGTATAAGTGTTACATTACAGCGCCGTGGTATTGATAATGTCGATATGTCCCCATCAGTGAAAAAATGTTTAACAAAGAAGTAAATAAAGGTGATGAGGAAAAATAGTAAAATGAATCGTGCTTGAAACAAATGTCGTGTGGCAAATCGAAATGACCAAATATTCATCACTATCAAACAGCTTCGATATTATTTTAATTCATTACACCATTAATGAAATTTTCATAAACAAATACATTTTGATAAAAAACTTCCATACTCAACACTCTAGCCCTAGTCAGGCATAATTTTTCTTCACAAATCTATGTTAAAAAAGTAAGATAAACAACACCGTTTCTTCTCATAAATACAATAGAAATACCTAGTTTTGACTTGTTTATAGACATTTTTTTACAAATGAGGGAAAAACACTGTTTTCTCCATTTGAAAAGATATGAACAATGTGATCAGATTTTTGTCTCAATTTATAGACATATAATAGAAAAGTTTATTAATATTTTTCCATGTAGAAAAAAAAGAAAGAAAAGAATAAAATTTTTCCATTTAACTGTCAATAAATGTACTTTAAATGACTGTGAAAATAAAAAATTAATCTTAATGTGCAGACATAAATATATGTATGTATGCATTTAGGATATTTTCTCATTTTCGACCGAAAACTGAAAAATATTTTTTTATAAACTATTCGATGTCTTCTTTTATGTGGATACAAGACTTCTGAACTTGAACACTTTTTTGGCCTTCATTTTTCTGTATTAAAAAACTCCCATACACGTTTTTTTTTATCTCAAACAAAAAAAAGACGGAAATGTTCAATCTCATTAATTTAGTTAGTAAAACTGCTTACCTTGCTAAGTTAAAAATAGTGCTTAGTAACGATAAACACGCACGCTTTAACATAGAAAATGGAGACATATACTGGCACATGCTTCTGTACATGCTCATTCGAAGCGCAACGAGCGATTACCTATAGTTTCTTTACCTTTATCAAGAATGATGAAATTTGATATTTTTAGTATTGAATATTGTTTCACCTTTTTCTCGAAATGGTTTTTTCTACTTACCGTCACTATGCACTTTTTTAAGCTTATCAGCACGATAATCAGTTATTTTTCAGCAAGATTCAGAAAACTCGTAAAGACCTTCAAGGATTTTCTAATTCTTTGCTATATATGTCATTAGACAAGAGTTGTGTCTTGTTAGAACTGAACTGATTATCTGGCTAATAAATCTAAAAAATCTTGTGACTTCTCTTTTGGACTCTCTGAACCAGTTGTTGAATTTTTATGACTATTTATATCTAACGTAGTCTGTTGTGGACATTAAGATTTGGTCTGATTGCTTGAGATGCTAAAGTTGTGCTGCAATTACCTGAATATTGTGATTTCTACTGTCCACGAGTAAGCACCTCTTTCTCAAATATTCCGAAATGATTCTAAACAACGTACTATTTTATGGATGAATATACTAGCTTCATTGAACAAATTTGCTTGTTTCATCATCATTTTTCTTTATTTTTAATATTGATTGGTTCAATTGTTTAGCGCGGCCTATGTGCTGTGTACATTCATTCGCTTTTTAATCCAGGTGTTCAGTGACTTTATCCAGTTTAATATGCGTTATTTTTGCATTCATTGACATTATGCCCAATTTTTGTTCTCTTAATTTTGGTAAAAATGTATCCAGATAGTTGAATTCATCACATTGACTGGTAAAAATATGAGTCGAGAAAAATGACATATCTATTTAGAATACTGTTTATGGATATATACGTTAATATATAATACTCATAACTTTGCCAAAAGTTTATTATATACCATCAACAGACTTATCAAATGTTTTTTTTTCAAAATCCTTTATCTATGACTACATTAGGGACTGATAACAAATCGCAATTTTTATAATACTAACAACCTAACAAAAACCTCCCTAAAGAAAAACCATGGTAGACTATATTCATGTGAAACTGAAATTTTATAACTAACTCAAAACACGGTCACATGTCCAAAATATACTCTTTTGACTGTATTGATAAATGTAGAAATTTCATGCAAAGAAACCATTTAGATTTTCTCTCAGGGTCGTCTAGAAAACTGTGAAAGCGTGGTTAGATTCTTTTTGTATCTTGAACTATGCCATCACTATAGATGTCAGCTGAAATCGAGTACATTTTAAGATTCCAAACTGAAAATTTTGAATGTGAGAAAATTTCAGTTTTGCATGAAAGCGGACTTATTTCATGATAGATGAAGACTAATGCGAGAAGTCCCCAACTTGAGAATCGCTTTTTCGATGGACGTTGTGTGATTATAGGTAATCGATAATGCTGATTCCGAATATCATAGTTGGGACGGCTACTAGGCCTTTTAAGAGCCGGTGTTTTATAAAACCGGTTTTCGAGAGTCAACATTTTTTTTTCCGAAATCAATTTCTGATACATCCGGTGTGCAGGGCATGTCGAGTGACCTGCGAGTCAAAATGTTTCTGAC